GCATTTTCAAAACTATACAGTTAAAAAAAAAGTAATCATAAAAATCTTATGCTGTAAAAAGGAGAAGGAAAGGAAAACATAACTGTTCATTCCGTATTCATATAGAAAAGGTCTGGGTGAAGAGGCAGATATTCAGTGGGTGCTTAAAAATGTAACAATAGGCAGGTCAGGATCTTCTTGAGAATGAGAACAAGTCTGCTATGAATAATAAGATGACCTTCTGGGATCTCAACAAATGCAATAGGACTTCCTCCACTGAATTCTATTATTACAATTATAGAATATTTTCCATGTTATAAACTATATCCTTCTTCATAATCCTATATCTGTTTGCATATTAATGTATTTTGCACACACAAGCTATTTTTGTACTGCTTTCCCTTCTAAAACTGCTATTTCATTACAAATAAGCATAAACATAAATGTATTCCACAAGTTTTTTTGCCCTGCAAAATTGCTGTTTGGTAATAAAATAACAAAAGGATTTTTTATTTACTGGAAATTTTAATGGGTCTAGTTCAACAGAAACTGGATTTCAGGAAAAATTGTCTGTCTGTAGTTTAGTCCAATCTGGAACTTGATGGGTAAGGTTTTCAGTGTCGATACGTTTTTATGCTTTACACCAATAAACACATTGCCATTTTCATGTCATATTTCATCCCATATTATTAGGAATGCTGGAAAATCTACAAATCACGTGTAGGTTTTCCAACATTCCTAGTAATATGGGGAGCATCCCCAGATGCAGAAGTGTCCCCACTGCAGAATTGGTCCAGAACGCTGTGTCAGGTCAAGAGGTTAAATGCATATCAGGCTAGTTATGTATATAAGGTTATTCCTGTCATCACTGTCTGAAGACAGCTCTCTTCTATCCGAGAACTTGGATCAAATTCAGATTTACATACAACTTATAGTTGAAAGAGATAAAAAATTACAGTGTTTATATGCAGTGGAAAACAATATTTTGCTGAGAAATGCTCAGCACCATAATCCCTTTCTGCTAAACATTTATGGTAACATCAAACTAGCATCCTGAGTGTGTATCAGTACACTTTGCATAAAATAGTGTAAACTGCTTGAGATAAAACTGGCTTTCAATTGCTCTTGTGACAAAGTGGCAAAATGTGCTGCATGTGACATGAATATGATTGAAACTGGTAACTAAGTCTACACTTTATCTTCCTAAAATATATTACATGAAAGCCTCAGTTGATGAAAATCATGATGGATGATAGAGATCAAGATTTGTGAAAACTGTGGTATATGGGGGATTGCAGCTTGGAATGTAAGAGGAACAAATGATAAAGAGCACAAATAAATCAGGAAGGAGGGAGGAAGGAGCCTCCAAAAGTAAGAGAAGAAGGATGTAATAGATCTGAATGAAACTGACCTAATTTTATGGAGTGGGGTTAAGGATGCAGGGAAGTAAAATGCAGGGCTAAAATGTATGTCATGAAGTATTAATTGGTGGTAAGAAGGAATCCATGTGGTCAGGCTTCATATCAGGACATAGCATCTCAGCTGCCCAGATATTTGAAACTTATTCAGCAATTGGTTCAGCTTGGCTGAAAAATCTCAAACTTGACAAAACTAGGTTGGAAACCTTATCGCAGAAAAGAATGATCCCCATACACAGTATATTATTTGCCCCTGCAGAGAAATCCAAGCCTTTACAGTATATAGGCCTATGCTTTAAAGTTTAAGATCTAGTCTTTTTCTTCCCATTTTTCTGAATAAACAAATATGTGGCCATTTTTTGATGGCCTTGGAAGGCAGCTGAACTATGTTTATGTAATGGTTCTTTCTACTCTGGGAACCACTGATTATTGGTCGACCAGAGTTATCCCTTACAATGATAGTTGCATATTACATTTTATTGAATGGTGATAATGGAAGAACCAGATATGAGTTGTGGGAAAAATTGTACAACATTATGAATGAACGTGATGGAGGTGGAAAAAAAAAATCTATTATGTGGCACAAATGCAGTGGATGCAGTGGGTGGGATGGGAGAAAAGGGTACAGAAAAAGTGATTTTCCCAGAGACCCAAATACAAATGAGAATGGTGATTAATGACCAACCTGCTTAGAAAAAGGTCTGTTTTGAATATGTGATACAGGTAGTTCTTGCTTAACATCCATTCATTCAACAACTGTTAGAAGTTATGACGGTACTGAAAAAATGGACTTGTGACCATCGCAGCGCCCCGTGGTCATGTGATAAAAATTTGAGCCAGCCTGCATTTACAACTGCTGCCCCACCCCCACCCCTCAGCTGACCTTTGTTCTCTTCGCCTGCCTCTCCTCTGCTGGGCTCACCATCCTGGCCATGCACAGGGAGGTGCTGTGGCCCTGGGGCTTCTTGTTGTATCACAGCAGTGGGGCTTTTTGCCCTGCCATGGCTCTGGGGCTTCTTGCCACACTGGCTCTGGGGCTGCACACCCTCCCCCACCTGGCAACAGCCACCCCAGCCCTGCTGTGCCTTGCTGTCTACTCACACATCCTCCCCCAGCCCCTCTGTGCTTGTGGCATGCCGTGTCAGCCACCCGTGCACCCTTACTCTCTTCCAGCCCCGCTTGCACCTCACTCCACTGGCCACCCACGTACCCCTCGCGCATCCTCTGTTGCTTGGGCCTCATCAGCCATTCGCACACCCTCCCCGTGCCCTGCTGTGCTCGCACCATCTGCGCACCTTTGCACACCCTCCTCCCCCTGGCAGCAGCCACTTAGCTGCCTGCTGGCTAGTTTGTGAGCCGCCTGGGACTTGCAACTTCCTGCCGGTTTCCCCACTGATTTTGGTTGTTGGAAGCCGGCAGGAAGTTGCAAGGAGGTCCTCACTTAATGACCTGTGATCTTTGCTTAACGACAGCAATGGGGACTGCAGGGATTGGCATCATTAAGTGATGCAGTCATGTGACCTTGCGCTTTATGACCACATTGCTTAGTGATGGAAATTCTGGTCCCAATTACCGTTGTTCACTGAGGACTGCCTGTATGTCCATTCATATGTACGCAAGGCAAAGGAGTGAATCTGAATTTAAAAGCATGACTGATTTCATTAAAGTTTGAGAGAGTTAGTGAAGGATGCAAGAATGATGAGAGATTCTAAATGTGGACAGACTGTTATTTTGTAATGTCAAGAGTGGATCGGAAAAAAATGGACAGAAAGAAAATGAACTGGCTAAACTGAAAAAAAAAATGACTGCATGAAAAAGAATTAGAAGACAGATTAATCTCCCAAAGGCAAAAATGAGGACAAGAGAAGACAGTGTATCACATGTATATAGAGAAAGTGATCGTTGCAAAGAAGGTAGTCAAAGAGGGCAAGGTATAGTTAAGATTAAAAGGAGAGAAAATGCAGAGCAAATTTGATGAAAAAAGTGACTACAGAATAAGTGGATTTAAAATGTTTAGAGATGAATTTGAAGTGAGAAAATGCTGTAAGGAGTACTTTAGAAATCTAAAAGGAAATTATAGTAATATCTGGAAGGGTGAAACTGAAAAATTTATATATATATAAATATATATATATATTTCAAGAAAAAAACAATGAAAAGGAAGTCATTAAAGTGATGGGAATCTTAAAAAAAATGATAAAGATTGCAGGTCATATACATCGTGTAACTGGAGAAGTGTTCAGATATGGATGTGGCTTGCTTATGGAGTGGTGTGTGATTTTGTATAGAGATTTCATCTCTTCCTGACCATTGGAAGAATGCTGGTAATATTTTTCTGTAGAAAGAAGTATGAATACAAAAACTATAGTTAAAAATGCCTGGAAAGATATTTGGCAGAATTGTGACTGAACGAGAACAAGAATTGACAACAAATAAACTTTAGGAAGTGCAGTGTTATGAGTTGACACAAGTTGTCCAGATCAAATTTTCACTCTTTAGAAGGCCACTGAGAAATGCATAAATGTGAAAAAGAAACATTTGTTCATTTAGAGAAAACATATGATAGGTGTTAATAGGTTGAATTATGGAATGTTTTCCACAATTCTGGAGTTGAAGATTGGCTACTGAATGTTTTCAGAACAATATGCAATGGAAGTAAAAATGTGTGAAAATAAAGGATGTGTGTAAAGAATTGTTCATTCTTGAGCAGGGTGTGAGACAAGGATGTGTGATTTCCTCTTAGTAATTTAGTATAGTTACAGATAGCAAATGTTGGTTTGTATGATACAGTGAGGAGTATGGATCTGAAAATTAAAGTAACAAAGACAAGGTAGGGAAAGTAATTGCATTTGTCTATACTGGTAGATTGTTTACTGAGAAGGGGAAAATGGAGAAAATTTAAGATGTGCAAATTCAGGTGGAAAGGCAGTGGATAGTATGTGGTCTATCATAAGCATCAAACGTGTGTTAGAAGGAGTCAGAATGGTTGTACTGGGAGCATGGTTTCTTTTTGCTATATGGAAGCAAGAGTTGCTCATGTCAGGAAAAACATGAAATTGAATGTATGTATGCATCAAAATATTTTTGGCAATATATTGAAAGTGGTTAATAGATAGGGGGATAGTATTAAGGGTAGTTCAATAGTCATTACCTCAGTTTTGGCAGGGAGGAATCTTTAGCTTTGCAGAGATCATGGTCTGTCCCACCTATTATGTGGCATCCCTTCACCGCAAAAATGAGCTATAGAGGAAGAAATACTCGGTACTGAGATATGGCTTTAGTGCACAGGGAGAAAAACACTCCACTCTAATGATATAGGAAAGACTGCATTCTTTCTGCACTGTCAGCACTCTTGGATTCTTATCAATGCACAGAGAGGGGAAGGGAGGAAGAGGGGAGGGAGGGAGGGAACAGGCTGTTGCTTTGCCCTTGCCCACTTTGACACCTCAGCAACTCTTTGCTGTCATAGTGATTGTATGGATTTTTAAAAACAGAGATTACTAAATCATGTTATCATTCCTAAGAAGTACTGAAGTATTTAAACTCTCCTTTCCCCTGCTGTTTTAGTTTTTCACTTTGATAAGTAGAGGAGGACTATTAATTGTTTTTCATCTTAAAATAAGAAATACTTTACACTGGATACAATTAAAAGTTGCATTGGTTAAAAAATACTTGTCACCTGTCACAATGTAGCACCTGTCTACTGATCTGTGTGATGCATATGTTAGCACTAGCTTATTTCTTTATTAGAAAATGTATACTGCTTAAAATACAAATCTTCTATTGCAAGTTGGCACAAATAAATATTGTACGTATATTGTACATAAGGAATTTGGAGAAAGAGTGGTATGGGGGAGAGTGTCAAGGCTGCCTTTAGGGGAGGGAAGCCTCATAAAAGCCCTCCATATCATTCACAGGTTCTAGGTCCTGTGAATAGAAGATACAATCATGGGTACCCAGAGAAGAGACAGGGTAAGGCTACCATATTAGGGTAAGGCTAAACTCTGGATGATCACAAGATGGCACAGATATACAGAAAATCTGGAAGCTACAGCTGGTTTAAAATGAGGCCATGTGGACAATCTTGGGTGCCCCAAGGATGGCACATATAACACCTTTGCTGTGGGAACTGCATTGGGTACCAGTTTGCTTCTGGGTCCAATTCAAGGTGTTGGTTATCACCTTTAAAGCCCTACATGGCATGGGTCCAGGTTACCCGAGGGACCGTCTCACCCCCATCACATCAACCCGTCCCACCCAGTCAGGCAGAGAGGGCATATTGCGGACCTTGTCAGTGAGAGAATGTCGGCTGACGGGGCCCAGGAAGAGAGCCTTCTCTGCTGTTGCTCCTACCCTTTGGAATATTCTCCCTCCAGAGGTGCAGTGGGCCCCTACCCTCCTGGTTTTCCAGATAGGACTTAAGACCTGGGTCTCACAGCTTGCATGGGGCAATAAGAGTTATAATCAATCCTGGGGGTGGCTGGTGGCTGATGATACTCCCTGAGCTGTTCACCAATTTTATTATTCCTTGGAATTTATTATTTATTTAAGATTGTTTTTATGTTGTATTTTAATTAATTTTATCTGTCCTGTAAAGCTCCCAGAGTTGCTTTTTATTAAGATGGGTGGTGACAAATTTGATATATAAATAAAAATAAATAAATAAAATAGTTTCCTGCCATCTAGTTGTCATCTGGATTTTTCAGGCCAGATATGGTAGCCCTAGGATAGGGAGTGGAGATCAAAGGCAAACACACATAGAAATACTTAGATGGCAAGGAGTAAATACATGAGGGAGTTACTTAGAAGCACAGACTCAGAGAAGGGAAAGAAGACACACTCATCACTCTATTTCTCTGAAATAGCCTTTTGTTTCCCTTGGCTTCCTATTTAAACTTTTTGGTGGGGAAAAAGCACCCTGGATGCTTTGTCTTCTGTGGGGCTTTATAGCAGTCTGTCAAAAAAAAAAAAAAAAAAAAAAGAATTGAGAAAGAAGTGGGAAACATTGATGTTCACTCTTATTTATTTTTCCAGACTAGATTACTAGGAAAATCTCAGTTAGGAAAGATACATATGAAAGGTATATTTGGTTGGTATCTATGGGAGCAGAATGCTAGGCTGGATAGGCTTTTCTCTGCTCCAGTGTGGTTCACATTTTTACATTATTTAAAGCTGATTTATTAGAAAGTTGTACAATTATATTCACATTTCAAATAACATGTGCAGGTGTAGAAGTAATGAAAGTTCTGTTCCTCTAAATTAATACAAATTAATGCGTATGCAGAGGTATTATTTAGAATTTTACAGGCAACAGCATATATTTATATAGTAGAGTGTTTCCAGATTAGCATATCATAGGTCACCTAGATCATACCCTAATTCATTCATGTAATTCACAGGACTTCCAAGCCATGACATTTTCCATTTGTGATCCTTATGATTTTGTTTTTCACCATTTATTCTGACTTATTTCTTACCAGAAAATGTTAGAGACAATAGGATGGAACACAGTGATTGATAACAATAGTAACCATAAGTGTGAAAGCTGTATGATAGACACATATTAACTATAATATAGAAATAGTTGTAAGCATGGTTCAAATATAATTTTTGTATGTTTTTAATAGGTGGAAGTCCGTTGGACAGCCCCAGAAATTTTTCTCCAAATGCACCATCTCACTTTTCCTTTGTTCCTGCCCGTAGGTATGTATGAATGATTTTGTTCCATTAGCTTTAAGAGCCATGTAAGTATATTCGTGTTCTGTAGCTTAAAGTGGTGTGTATATATATGGCTTCACTGATTCATCAGCTCTCTAGCATTGCTTTAAAAAAAGTTTAATATTTTTTTAATCACCTTTAATGTGTGTCTCAGTTATAGGATTTCAGTGCTTGTACAGATATCATCAGAACATTTTAGAGCTGGCCTGAATTTTGGTAGACCTGGAATAGATCCTCCCATTGCACACCTGAAGGATTTACCATTATTTATCTCAGCCCCTTTTGAAAGCTGTTAAATCAGTATTAAAGAACATTGTTCAAGATCATTGTGCTGGTTCAGCTTGGTTTTACTCTTCTTGGGATTTGTTCTTCTTACTTTCCAATTTCTTGAAGATTAAAAAAAAATACAGTTTGTCTTTTATCAGCTATTCACACCTTGTGCCATGATGACTCCTTTTAAAAAGGACATCAAGTGTGGCAATAAGTTTCCACCCTCAGGCAAACTCTGCTTGTATGTTTTTTATTGGGGCAATATCTAGTTTGTGGACTTTTGTTATCCTTCTAATATCTTCATGAAACAAGTACATTGCAATATTTATTCATTTATTCAATTTGTATGGCTCCCGATCTCAAAAAGTGACTCTGGGCAGCAAACAATCTTAAAATAAATTGAAATCACAATTACAAAAGTTAAAATACACAGCAGCTGAGGAAGATATCACAATCACCAGTCATTAGTACAGCCAGGAGACAGGATCCTTCACATACTTGGAGCCCCAGGCCCATGCCAGGAGGCTTTAGGGCCAGGTCTTTAGGGCCTTACAAAAGGCTGGCAGGGTTAGGGCCATTCTAATCTTGGGAGGCAGAATGCTCCATATGGTGGGCACCACAGCAGAAAAGGCATGTTTCCTGGGCTCCACCAACCAGCATTCCTTGGTTGATGGGACCCAGAGCATGCCCATCCTGCTGGACAGGATGGGTAGAAACAAGCAGGCAGAGATGGTCCCATCCATTAGAAGATTTTATTCCTATTGTTTCACAGTTATGAAGAAAGACAACAGCCTCAGACTGATTCTTGGTTTCTAAGACAACAATTTAATCACTTCTCATCCACCCTGGATGGTGAATTTGCACTCATTCTTTCACTGTTACATTGCAGAAATTGATTTGCATTGATTGACTTGAAGAATATATATTTCCATGTGGTTTGAATACAGGTAGTCCTTGACTGATGACCATTTGTTCAGTGACCGTTTGAAGTTACGATGGTGCTTAATGAATGGTGGTTACAACTGGTCCTTGGAGTTCTGGCCGTCCCACCACCCTGTGGTCACATGATCACAATCTGGGTGCTTGGCAACCAGCTCACGCTTATGACCAGTTGCAGCACCCTGCGATCGACGTTTGCGAACTTCCCTGCTGGCTTCCCCAGAGAGTCAATGGGGAAGCCAGCAGGGAAGGTTGCAATTCACTGGGATAAGTCTCCCCCACCTGAGCACTCTCCCCTAGCCCCTCTGAACTTGCGCTGTGCCAGCCACTTGCACACCTCTGCAGACCCTCCCTGATCCTTGCCATGCCTCTCTTGCACCCTCATGCACCCTCCTCAAGCCTTGCCATGCCTCTTTTGCACCCTTGTGCACTGTCCCTGCTTTGCCTCCCTTGTACCCTCACTGGACCTCCCTTCTGCACCCCTCACACCCTCTTGAACTTCACCATGCCTCCTGTGCACCCTTCCTGACCCTTGCTGTGCCTCCCTCACGCCCTTGCGCATCCCCACACACCCTTGCACACCGTCCCCTAGCCTCGCACCCTTGCTCACCCTCCCTGAGACTCTTCAGGCCTTCCTCGCACCCCCTCAAACCCTTGTGCACCCTCCTCAAGCCTTGCCACACCTTCCTTGCACTCTCACACACCCTTGCACACCCTCCCCAAGCCTCACCACATACCCCTTGCACATCCCTGCGCACCCTCCCCAACCCTTGCCACGTTTCCCTCGCACACCCCCTCATTCCTTCCCCCACCCAGCAGCAGCCACTTACCTGCCTGCCAGGCTGCTTGCGAGCCACCTGGGACCTGCAACTTCTTGCCCGCTTCCCCACTGATTTGGTTGTGGGAAGCCGGCAGGAAGTTGCCTCGTCTAATGACTGTGGGATTCAGTTAATGACAGCAACAGGGGCTGCAGGGATTGCTGTCACTAAGTGATGTGGTCACACTTTATGACTTCATTGCTTAGCAACAGAAATTCCGGTCCCAATTGCCGTTGTAAGTCAAGACTACCTGTATGGAAAATAGTTCTTCCAATTTAAGATTCTTTCTTTTTTTAATCTTTCACTGACACCTCAAGTATTTATGAAGTGCATAGCGGTTCTGGTAGCTCATTTACATCTTCAAAGAATGCAGATATTGTTGGCTGGTGTGGGTCTTCCAGGCTGTGTGGCTATGGTCTTGAAGTTTTGTTTCCTAACGTTTCGCCAGCACCTGTGACCGGCATCTTCAGAGTGCAGGAGCACAGACAGGAGCTGGCGAAACGTTAGGAAACAAAACTGGCATACGATGGCTGGTGTGGGTCTTCCGGGCTGTGTGGCCGTGGTCTTGAAGTTTTGTTTCCTAACGTTTCGCCAGCTCCTGTCTGTGCTCCTGCACTCTGAAGATGCCGGTCACAGGTGCTGGCGAAACGTTAGGAAACAAAACTTCAAGACCACGGCCACACAGCCCGGAAGACCCACACCAGCCATCGTATGCCGGCCGTGAAAGCCTTCGACAGTACAATGCAGATATTTCCTTATCTGAACAATTGGCTATTGACAGCTCCATTGAGAGAAGAATCATGTACTTTAAGGCTATGATAGCAGTACTGGATCAACTGAGAACTATGTGTCAAGTATAAAAAAGTCTCAGCTGACTCTCTAAGAATCTATACATTTTCCTGATTTTTGCTAACGTCTTGCTAGGTTCAAGTTTTCTCGTCAGCTGACAAATTGACCCTGTTCATTATTCTTACCTCCTGATTTGCATTGGTGCTATGTCCAATGCCTTGAAGGTTTATATAGCTGCAACTGCCTCAGCAGTACAGTATGCATACTTCAAATGTGGCTCCTCCAGCATTTTTTTTTTTGCCTTCGAGTCAAAAAAAGGCAAAAAAAAAAGGAAAAATCTGTGAAGAAAAATTAGTCAGGAACCAATGCTGGTGTAGTGGTTAAAGCACCAGGCTAGAAACTGGGAGGCTAATGAATTCTAGTCCTGCCTTTGGCATGAAGCCAGCTGGGTGACATTGGGCCAGTCAACAATGTTGACTCCTGGCAACTTCCTGGACAAGTCCCTGAAGTTTTCTTGGCAAGATTTCAGAAGTGGTTTGCCATTGCCTCTTTCCTAGGGCTGAGAGAGAGTGACTGGCCCAATGTCACTAATTTTTCTTCACAGATTTTTCCAAGTTCATGCCTTCTTTGGTTCATCACTCCCTCCATTTCATAGACCACTCACACCTTTCATCAAAGATTTTTACTTCTCCCCATTCCCCACCTGTAATCCTAACTAGATATGTATCTCCATGGAAACACAAAAGAACTATGGTGTTATTTAGCAAGGAAGTTGTACATCAATGTAGAAGAATTTTTTGTGGCTTAGAATTCCTTAAAAGCCTTTGAAATAGTATTGTTGGTGGCATTGTTCTAGTGGCCATCAACTATATTGTGGTGGTCTTTTATCTGAACAAATTTGAACAAGCAAAATGCAATAAAATCACATTTGGTGCAGTCAGTGGTGTGTGCATGTAATAGCCATTAATCTTTCCTGAATCAGCAGTACCTGATTGACATTGAGGATTGGAGGATGCCCATAGGGTTGCAGTTTAGCAACCCAATGGGTTGCCAACTTTTTCATTTGAACACAATTGGCAGTTGACTTATTTATGACCCTGGGAAGTTGTTGTTTTTTTACTCAGTGGCAGTACATAGAAACTGAGGTGAATAACTATAAGTCCTCCAGAATATAGGAGGAAGGTGTATTCATGGACCACCAAATGGAACTCAGCTTTAATGGTATCTGTGCAGATACAGGAAAACCATGAATATTAACAGAGTTACAGGTAAACAGTCTGTGCTTTACCCTGATAGTTATGCTTGTTCTTATTTATATAAAAAAAGGGGATTCTGGTTTTACGTTTGTACCTGAACATAAATAAAGTAATGCAAATAATTTAACTATCTCATGATTCTTGCAACTGGAGAGAAACAAGCTGATGCAACTAGTTTGGATAAGTAACAGCCTACCATGTTATAAACCATTTTTCAGTTGGTTTGATGTATGCATACAAAGAGGCTGACCTTAATCTACTCAACCAACTATAGGAAGGAAGGTTTCACCCTGGGTAAAGTTGGGAGGCAGAATGAAAGTGGATGGAAGCCTAGTACAAGTGGTCTTCCTTCTCTTTGCTGTTATCCTCAGGATATGTCATAATTTCATGTCATTGATTGGATTCATTTGGCTATGCCTTTGAGTGAGTCCATACTATATAGGAATAATGCAGAAGGCCAAACCCACCCACCTCTAAGTTTTTTCTATCCCTGCCCAAAGCTGAAGTACAATGAGAAGTGGGTAGCTTGAGAACCTACGTGGGTTTATCAGTATACTGAGGTCATGACCCTTTTAAAACTTAAATATTGTATGACTGAACTGCTTGGGCTGAAATGTGAAATATTGACATTGTTTGCAGTTCTTTAGAAAGGATCAGATGAGTTGTTCACCTTCTGCATAACTTTTTTATTTCAATTACTACCACCCTCCACTTCCCAAAATGAGGGACATTATTATTATTATTTATATTGATTTACAAGATACATATTTTCATATTTTGATAGTACCTGTTACTTTATAGTGGATGATTTCATGTACCAGTTTTGTGTGTTTTGACCCAAGGAGTTTGCAACATTTTTGGACTAGCAAGCACATTTAGAATTTTAAGAGCATGTTCTGGGTGGACTCAAAAATGTTTGCTGGATGGAACTTATCTATTCACAACATTGACACCCATGGAGGGATGTAACCAGTTATAAAGTGCTGATTTATTATGATATGAGCTGGATTCCCTCTAGTATTTCATTTCTGCAGGACACTCTTTACTACTCCTAACTTTCGTCCTTTTTAAGGCAAGTGGCCATACTTTCAATGTAAATACTATTCTGCACTATTCCCTATCCTTTTTTTTCCCCACAGAAGTTTTGGGGACCACCTGGAGCCTAGATGCATGCTTGGAAATAAAGATTTGGGGGCTTTCAGTTGCACCAAACCAGCTTCCCATTTTTGATTAAAAGAGTTTTTTAAAAAGTCAGATGGAGAAGGGAGCCAGATGGGAACCAAGGGTGGTGTCTATGGACATATGGCTTCTTTTGGGTGAAATATTGGGGTCTTCAAATATAACAAATAACTTTTTTTCATAATTTCCTTGCCACTATTAAATAATGATGGGATGTAATAGCCCTCATATACCTTTTGCTAGTAGGTTACCTCACTAGCAGTTTTAAAAGTCCCATTAATATTGTTAGGGTGTCAGGATACTACCATTTTGTTTTGCTAAGAAAATATTATTTTACAATAAATTTCAAGTTCAGTATTTTGTGTGCATACCTGAATTTGGTAATAATGTGAAAGCTGAGCTCTTCTTATATACGCAAGATAAAGATGAAAAATTCTCAAAGCTGAGTGGTGCAATTATTTTAGTGTCACTATAAATCTGATGGTGTATAAATCTGATGTATAAATCTGTCATTAAATATTATGTTTCTTTTTTATTTTCTTATGTTGCAAATTCATCCATAAAAATTCTTAGGATATTTAAAAGGATAAAAATAATGATATGATAAATGTTTACAAATGCTCTGTGTTTTGTTCCCATTTTTATTGCTGGTACTGTTTCTTTTATATAGCCATGGACACAGGGCAGACAGGTAATGGTACAGCAGATGTAAGTTGTATGCAGTATGAATGGAAAGCTTTTGCATGTTGCAGTCCCAGTGAGCTCATGCTTTCATAACCCATTTAGGCATGTTGGCAACACTTCACCTGACCAATTAAAATGAGTGACATCTGTTTTTTTAATATTATGGCTTCTATTGAAAGCAAAATATTGCTGTTCTTCTAAACGTTATATTATGCATCTGTAGACATATCGACTCAAAAGAGAAACTTTATTGAACTGAGAAGTGAACCCAGAATTAAAATACTTGGCAATAAGTCTGTATAGGATAGTAGCCTTAGTGAAGTCTATCTTGTCCTGCTGTGTGGCAATATAAAATAGCTCGTGGGTATCATCTCACCTTTTAAAGAAATATTTCCCAAGACTTGGAGGGGAGGGGGACAAGTTACAGATTCTTATGCTGCATTTAGTGTATTCTCTACTTAATATTCTGAGCAGTGTGTGAACTTCAGAAAGCCTTCTTGCATTCACAAAACCTGCCTTTTGTACTTCAGCTGAGGCTTGGTTATTTTTACTTTATCTTTTCCTGTTCACAGAGAGCCTACCGTGATTAAATAAATGATTGGAAAATTCCTGTTTCACCTGAACAATGAAAATAAACTATTGTTTTGGTTACTAAAATTCTTGATAGATACTTTAGTACCCTGGGAGCTGTATCATATACTTTAAATTTAAGTCAACTTTAATATGTAGCTGCAAACAAGCCACTGTCATTATGAAAATGTCATATAGGAGATGTGGGTTGCTGTTCTGTTTTGCCTCAAGTGAAATGTTTAGTATCAGTGAATAATTCTAAGGGGAAAGTAGTGGCTAGGGATGTTTGCAACTGAAAGTAAAAGTTACAAATCTAATAATTTTTAATAGGCATTTTAATTCTGCAGTTGCTAAGTGAATGCTGCTTGAAAATTTTCTGCTTTGCAACCGCTCCTTTCAGAGAAACTACCGTATTTTTCCATCTATAAGATGATACTTTGTTCTAAAATCGTTACACTAAAAATTGAAGGGCGTCTTATGCAAGGAAGTAAGTTGAGGAGAGAACTGCACGGTTGCGAAACTGCCCATACTTTGTCTCTGCAAATGGGCTTCCTCCTATTTCTAGCCTCCAATCATGAGTGAAATAGCTTGAGTCTGCAAACAGACTTCCTCCAATCCCAAGCCTTATGTAACTGACGTCAGCTGATGCTGAACAAACCAATTGGAGGAAGTCTGTTTG